CCTTTGAAAACAGTGTTTCCAGTTTAGGGTTAAAAAATATTGAGTAACTAAGTTCAAGTTTTTTTAGTATTAATCTTATATTTGATGTTATTTCTTCGTAAATCTTTTAACTCTTAATCATACAAGTTTTTTTTTTAATATTGTAAACTGGTGATGGTTTTTAGGTAACTGGATTCCGTGCATTTTTTATTGCTAATATAAAAACGATTATGTCAAGCAGAAAAAAATTACCCAATATTTTATTAAGGATAAAAACTGCATAATGACAATCTTGAAAATCCTCGCATCGTAACATTAAAATCATGGCGTAATAAAAAAAATAATAATAAAATAATAAACAAATCAAATTGAGATATATACATGTAACAGCAACGAAATAAATTCTCTAATATGTTTTCAAATTGCAAAAATTAAGTAGTTAAGAATTTTTATTTTTTAATATTTGTATAAACTGGTTATCACACATTTTAAATGTAATCTTACTATTATTATAAATGCGAAAGTTTAGATGGATGGATGGATGGATGGATGTTTGTTGGCGTTTGTAGCCTAAACGGCTGAACGGATCTCCATGAAATTTGGCACAGGTTTAGGTCATACTCTGGAAGAACACATAGGCTACTTTTTATCCCGGGATAAGTTACGGTTCCCGTGGGATTCATTAATTTAGTTTTTTAATGTTTACTCGATCATTCTGCAATGGTTCAACATATCTTATTGAAATTTGGCACAGATGTAAAACAAAGTCTGGAGTATACATGGGATAAGCTTCATCCCCGAGGTGTCCGGTTCCCGAAGGATACGTAGCTTGTTGTAATTTATATAGTTCGTATGTTTTCTAATACCACGCGGACGAAGTCGCGGGCAACAGCTTGTTATTTTATATTCAAAAGCGAATATATCATAAGCCATTTGTGTAGCGTGAACAAAAGAATAATTGTTCAAAAATGAATTAATTGCAAAATCAGTCTTCCAATTGAACATCTGTTTAATTTCCATTCAAAGGGTATTTATTAAAATTGCAATGTGATTCAGTTGAAAACGCTAACAAATTGAATATTTAGCGGATTCAGTTGTTGAATTAATCAGTGCGAATCAAACGTATTTAAAACTACATTTAGTTATAACTTCATTTCATTGTATAGAAATGGTACAATTAGATAGCGTGATATAGACATATGCAACGAGACGACGACATAAACCAAAAAGTAAGATTAAATGTGGATGGCTACAAAGGTAAAGGAAGGAAGAAAGTATAAGATTGTGTGAAAGAGGATATGTTTAAGAAAGGAGTGGATTCAGATATGACGGCTGATAGAGATGTATCGAAGAGCAACACATACTGTGCCAACCCTCCGTGAGGAATAAGGACAAGTGGATGAAGATGATTGATTGTATAGAAAGTAATAAATTTTGAAAACGTTAGCATAAAAATGGCAGATTTGTCGAATTTACAGTGACAGAAATTCTGCAAAGATGGCACTAAAGAGAGAAAAAATGAGTTATACTAGAATGCGGGCGTATGCGTCTCCTCCAGCTTCAAATCAACATTCCCTGCCCATCCTTTACTTATTAGAAAGAGGGTGGAAAGGAAAAGGGATTAAAATTGGGACTTCGGCACCACACTCATCAGACGGAACTCAGAATTGCTTCCACTTCACGCCTGTCTTCTGTTGGTCGTGGTATTGCACCGTTCGAGTCGACCCATTTGAAGATGACAAAGCGGGCTCTACCACTGTTAATTGACAATATAAATGGATTACTCAACAAGCTACGTGTAATTAACATAAAGCTCGGTGTTTAAACAGCGGAGTGATTTACAACAGCCAGTTGAATATTTAGTCAATTTCATTGCCTTATTAATCAGTCTCGTGTAATGAGAGAGGTTATTTAAACAACTTTCTATGTATACATACTAACTTTAGACCGCGACTCTATCCATCTGATATTAAAGTGAAGTAAGTAGCCTATGTGTTCTTCCAGTCGTCTCTACATCTATGCCAAATTTTATCTAGATTAATTCAGTCGTTAACAAACATCCATCCATCATTTACAATATTAGTAATATTTAAACTGCTCTGCAAATAGAAAGAATTATTACACCAACTGACAAAAGTGTCAATTTTACACTATAATAGCTGAATGTTTACGATCGTCCCTCTCTATTGCTTGTTATTGCCTCCCGCTCGCACACTCGGTTCAGACGGAACGTGACAATAAGTCATGCAATTCGTGTGTGCAGCCTTCATCGAATTATTCGATGATCATTGTCAAAAATAATTATTTTTATAAAGAACTAGCTGTTGCCTGCGACTTCGTCCGCGTGGTATTAAACATTAAAAAACTATATAAATGAATCCCACGGAACCGTAATTATTCCCGGGATAAAAAGTAGCCTATGTGTTCCTCCAGACTATGCTCTATATCTGTGCCAAAATTCATGGAGATCCGTTCAGACTTTTAGGCTATAAACTCTAACAATCCATCCATCCATCTTCTTTCGCAATTATTATATTAGTAAGATATATTATTATTATCTTTATAACTGTATTATTATTTTTTTATATTTGATATTAAGTTATCCGACGCCCATAAACATCCGCAATGCCAAGGGTACTGCAGATGTGCTGCCGGCCTTTAAGGGAGGAGTACGCTCTTTTCTTGAAGGCCTAAGTCGTATAATATTTATATATTATATATATGATAATTTAAATAAACATGAAATAAGTATCGATCTATAATATCCACGTCGTTGGCACAAGAGTATTGTTACCGGTGTAATATAAATCAACTGGCAAACAGGTAAAGTTTCAAACTAAGCAGCGCACGTAACTCATGACGTAGGCACTGGATATCCATTGAAATATGAACCCGGGACGCTGTTGGATCCGTGCCATAATGTAGCATTTGCTATCTATTAGACAAACATAGGTATTGACGTTACAATAATTAAAAACCCGCTTTATGTATGTGCGTGTTAATCTATACTATTATAATAAAGCGAAAACACACTCTTCTTTGTTTCCTAAGATGTCAGCAATTATAGCATATTTTTGAATAATTCTTTTTTAAATAAAAATCCCTACACTTACGTCCCGCTTTAGGCTATATTTTCACACCATTAAACTTAGGGGTAAATATTTTGGACAAAAACTCTAATGTGGGAAAGAGACCAAGTTGTTGCCAACATCAAGGAAGCAAGGTTGCCATTGTTTGACATCATGTCATGTCATTTTGACATTTGCTATTGATAATTTGACAAATGTGAGCACTAATATTAATTTTTTATAATATCATGCGGATGAAGTCGCACGGGAACAGCTAGTTTAAAATAAATCTAGTAAAAGCGAGCGCACATCTTTGACTGAACTATCCCACTACTGTTTTGTCTTGCTTTGATTCCTTTAAGCTTATGTGAAGGGCGCACGTTACTCAATTTTTAGTTGTGCTACTAAACAGTTGAATTAGCTGCGAAATAATTGACAATCGACAATGGAACAATAGTTGTGCGATAGTTTAGTCAAAGATGTCCGCTCTAAAATAGACTTATTTCATTTCGAGTCTACAAATTTCGGTATTTGTTAAGACAATAAAATAATAACATAGTTAAGCTTAACAAAGTAATAGTCGAATTAAATAACGAAGCAAGACAATAAATTAACAAAATGTAAATTTTATTTCAACTCCCTACTCCTATTTAATTGTCAGCGTAAATGTTTGTAAAATTTGTTAGCTTTTATTAAACTGTATTGCGAAGTTTGTCTCGACCTTTCTTTACACAAAAGTTATTATCAAATCCAATTTTTCTTTTCTTTATATAATGAAAACCCTACAAGTTGTTTGTACATTTGGTATCAAAATCATACTTCTACACGGTAGACGTGTGTAAATCGAAATGTTTAGAGTGTGGCCACAACTAAAAATAAACAATCGCACCATTTAGTCCCGTTTTAATTTCTGTGAGCTTATACGGAGGTGCCCACACTAATCGTTTTTCTGTTGTACAACTAAACAGTTGAATTGGCTGCGAAACAATTGACAACCGCAGAACAGTGCCAAAATTAATCAAAGATGTGCGTCCGCTCTTACCAACAACTAAATGGACACTACGCGTAATTTTGTAATTATGTCAACCATAGAGCCGCGACATTGGTGGCACTTCGTAGCACGTAATGTCAATCATAATTCCTTGCAGGTACAGATTGAGCTGATCTGTGTACCGGTTCAGTCATCTGTCTAAATGTGAGCAGGATGCAGTTAAAATTAGTTAAAAACGTGAGCGTTATTCCGTCTTAACTTCATTTACATTGGTAGTTTGTACAAATACAGTTCGGCTGTTCCAAAGGTGACAAAAAACTGACCTCCAAAGGTGCAAAGGTAGAATGGTAATAGAGAAAGGGATATTACGGAAGCAGTCCCTGCCTTGGGAGTAATATTTCATGGGATATCACAGCTAGGCCGTGAGGTAAGTTTAGCAAACTTCACCTGGTTAATTTATAGTTTATGACGCCCATGGGTCGACAAATGATAATGCAATTATAGTTGTTTTCCCGGATTATTCCCAACCGTCACCCTGCTGTCCCCACGTGGAGACAGATGAGAATAAAAAGTTTCATCCGTCCCACCTTTTGAGATTAAGGGACAGTTGGAACTTATTTTATTTCATAACGGTTCCATCTGTTACCTTATTAGTGATGGTGGCACTAAAAGGTGGGACGGATGAACATTTTATTTTCACCTGGGGCCAGAGCGGTGACGGTTGGGAATAATCCATTTTCCCGATATTGCGCGATTTAGAAAATTAACCTGACTCTTTTTAGTACTTAATGATTCATTAACTCCAAAACCTCAATAGTATTACATTTGATGAATCCAAAGGAACATAGAAAATAGATTTATTTGAAGAACTGATATAATATTGTTGAGAAACCATAATAAAGCAAACATTAAAACAGTTATTTTTAAAACATTTAGAGATAAACGAGAAGTAACAGCCAGTTTTAACTCTTCAAATGCAGTTCAGGAGCGTATTTATAAACGCATGTAATTATTTCATTGCCAAGTTGACACGGGACTATGTCATGATGGTTCACCTGCAAGGAAAGCATCAGTAGTTATAAAAAACAAACTTGATTATTTGACATCACCACGTACATATTTTACTCCCTTTCCCTTTACAGGATGACAAAGAAAAGTGTATTAGACGGCGGAGGAGACGCATAGGAAAGGGAAACGTCTTCTTTATGTGCGTCTCCTCCTCTGTCAATTAAGGGTAGGCAACGCATCTGTAATTGCGGATGTTTATGGGCAGCGGTCGCATTCCATTTCGGTGGATTCAGGTCGCCGCTTGCTCCTTTGCCACCTTATATTATATAAAAAAAATTTAGCAACAGGAATTTAAGTAGTGAGCATTATGCTACGACATGTTTTTCAGTTTAACCATGGGTGTCGCCAATCAATGATCTAGGGAGGACGTTGATCAAAAGGGGGCGCAACCGATGATTAAGAAGGGGACTGGCAGTTTTCCTCTTGCCCCTTGGAGACGCCCAAGGTTTAGGCGATTTATGCTAAGGATATCTCATGTTGCTATTAAGAGCGGGCACATCTTTGACTAAACACACAACTGTTGTGCGATCCTCGATTGTTTCGCAGTTCATGCAACTGTTTAGTTGCACAACTAAAGTCGAGTAGTGTGTGCACTTCGATATAAGTTCATAGGAATCTAGGCGCCACTAAACACTTGTAGGTTAGTTTATTCAAAGGTGTGTGCGCGCTTTAAAGGTGTAAACAGAATTGTGAAGAAAGGGAGTAGATTTGATAGCAAAGGGAAATTATAAAATCACGTTTAATCTTACTTCTTTGTCGCAGTTTTCAGAAACAGTTTTCATATGTTCTAATTTACTTTTCTTAGCTAGAACCAACGGTGATACAGCCATCATGAAGCCTGTTTTGGAATATTTGTTATTTTTCACAACGCCAACCTGCAGAGTGTAAATAAAAATCAGTAAACATAAGTTCAAAAAGTAACTTGTGTATCTAGTTAAGGTACCTTTGACTAAACTATTCCACAATCGTTTAGTCTTTTTGATTCCTATGAGCTTGTATTGATTTTTAATTGTGCAACTAAACAGTTGAATTGGCTCCGAAACAATCGACAATCGCACAACATAGTTTAGTCAAAGTGTGTGCCGCTCTCTAAGTGTAAAGGCAGGCAAGATACAGATGTATTTAAATTTTCCATGTCAATAATGTGATAAGAAAGTTTGGCCGGACGCCAATAGTCGAGCAACCATTGACCTCGTAATTAAATTACTCGCAGACCCTTAAAAGGTTTTTATAGTTGTATGAATTTGTAAAACACTCAATTGCACTCTTTTGACTGACAATTAAACAGTCTTTTATAATATAATAGTTTTTTTCATAATAAACTAACTCTAAGAGGTTCTTTTATTAACCATTACCATTAAAAGAGTAATGAGATTTTACATTACTAAAAATTTACGTGCACAATTTTTTTTGTTAAGCTTTTTCTTATTTTTAACAAGGTGGCAAACGAACAAACGACCTGAATCCACGAAAATGGCGGAACGACCGCTGCCCTTGGACATTGGCAATAGCGGATGCGTTCCCTACCCTTAATCGACGGAGGAGGAGACGCACATAAAGAGGATATTTCTTCTTCCTATGCATCTCCTCTACCGTCAAATCCACATTCCTTTTCCATCCTATTCTTATGAGAAAAAGGACTAAGGTTGGGCCTCCGGCATCACACTCATCAGACGAAACGCGAAAATGCTCCCACCTTACGTCTGTCTTCTGTGTGGTCGTGGTATTGCGAAGATGTTAAAGCCGGCCGGCCGGAAAAAAGTATTATTGCCGTACTCAGAGTCCTTATCAAGAAGGTTGTCTCTTAGTGAAGATTTAATAAATCTGAATCAACTTCTTACGACAAGGAGTGTCTTAGTGATTTACTATCTAATTCTATGTAATATTTTTGTCAAAACTCACCTTTTCTAATAAACACATAATGATGCATGACGATTTCTCCGGGTATGGAGGATCATTACGGAGGTATTCCAAATCTTCTTGTGTGGCATTTACATGGTTTACGCAAGACTTGGCTGTGGCCACCATTGATTTACGAATGACGCTCGCTATAGGGCTTTCTGAAATCACATATTGTTATTAGCTATCAAGAAAATGATATAAGATTGGGCCTGTCCCACTATTGACTGATAGAGGCTCAGATAGCTTAACAATGACGTCAGATAAGGGAACAAGATCCGATATTTCTATCACATATTTTACTCGTTAGATTGTTATCAGACAACTTACAATTTGGTTTAAAAGACAAATATGGTTTCTCTTTGTCTGTAAATTATTTAAAGTACTACATTATAAAGTTAAAAAAGTTAGTTGTAAAGTCAATTGAAGGACGATAATTTTATGTGACGTCACAAGCCGAACGCCTAGTCCCATTGTGCCTCTCTATCGCTCGTTGCGTTCTCGTTCGCACACTCTCGGCTTAGGAACGTGACAATGATTCATGCTTTTTCGTGCAGAATCGGTAATCATCAATTTATAAGACTTTATTACGTTAACGGCTTGTATTTTATGAGTAAAACTAGTTGTTTCCCGAGACTTCGTCCACGCAATATTAAGATAAAAATGTAGCCTATAGTTTGCTCGTTTATGTCAGCTACTCTTCAGTGAAAGTCAGTGAAAGAGATTACCCGGAACGCGGCTTGCGGACAGACAGACAGATAAAAACATTTTTAAATTCGATTTTCGTTACGAGCAACAGAAATACATCCTCTACCCGAAATCTGGAATTTTTCTTTTGATGCAAATAGACACTCCAATTTATATCTATACTATTATAATAAAGCGTAAACACACACTTCTTTGTTGCCTAAGATGTCAGCAATTACAGCATATTTTATAATAATTCTTTCTTTAACAAAAAGCCCTACACTAACGTCACGCTTTAGGCTACATATTTTACGACATTAAACTAAGGGGGCAAATATTTTGGATAAAAACCCTAATGTGGGAAAGAGACCATAAGTTGCTGCCAACATCAAGGAAGCAAGTTTGATTAATTTTCTGCGGATGAAGTCGCACGGGAACAGATATTGTATAGATAATTTAATATGAACGATTATTTTTAACACCATAATAACGTACCGTGTACACTTTGGCCGACTGTTTGTTGGATTAAAATCAACGTATAGATGAAAACTTTGCATTGCCAAATGATACACATTTTCGACGTATTGTCAAATATAATATTTGTAAAATAATAACGAAATAAATCTACACAGCGGCTAACTTTACAATCGTATTATAAATGTATGGAAATTTTAAACTAAATGCCCTTGTGGATAATACAAAATGACATGATCAGTGATTATAGATAAACATTGGATGAATAATTTTATGTCGTAACATTGTTTACGTAATCTGCATTGTGAAACGACTGTACAAACATATGGTTATCTTTTTCTTTTTTAAAACGAATGAAAGAGACAAACTTCGTATTGGTGGTTCGTCTATTGAATTTAATCGGATGGTTTTTCGGATGTAATGCGTGTGGTGACATTTTAATGATTCATGTGATTCAATGTTTGTTGAAGGTTAAATCTTTATCGAATACTAGCTTTCGCCCTCGACTCCGTCCGCGTGGAATTAATAAAATCAAAAGCTTATGTCTTCTTCCAGAGTATCCTTTACGTCTATACCAAATTTCATCGAGATCCGTTCAGCCGTTTAGGCTACAAACTCTAACAAACATCCATCCATCTAAACTTTCGTATTTATAATATCAATAGGATTTTGTTATTTTTTTATTTAATATAAGGTGGCAAACGAGCAAGCGGCCACCCGAATCCACCAAAATGAAAAGCGACTGCTGCCTATAAACATCCACAATTGCAGATGCGTTGCCTACCCTTAATTGACAGAGGAGGAGACGCAAATAGGACATTTCCCCTTCCTGTGCGTCTCCTCCACCGTCAAATCCACTTTTCATTCCCACACCTTCCTCTCAAGAAAAGGGGGTAAAGGAAAAGGGGCTAAAATTGGGCCTCCTGCACCACACTCATCAGACGAAACGCGAAATTTCTTCCACTTCACGCCTGTTTTCTGTGTGGTCGTGGTATTACACCGGGCGAGCCGGCGCATTCGTGCGAAGATGTTAAAGCAGGCTCTACCACTGTTGTATAGAATATGTTTTTAAATCGGTATTTAATGAATCATTTCTGTTGTTTTGATGGGTGTTATCATTTATGGTATCTAAAATGCATAAGTATCATACACTTATGTCTAGAAATACAAACACGTGGTATTTTATGTTTTTGTTTTTGCCATTTTGTCGCTGATAGTTTGTCGGATTTGAATTAAAACAATATCGAATTAACTATTAATATTGCCAACATCAAATTTACAATTTCTCTTAAATCATGTTTTCATTTTCATGTAAATAAACCAAAAGTTGTACAGATCGGTTGATATGAAAATACAAATTAAAATAAATATAACAGTTCCGCAAAATATAATATCCATTTTTAATATTACTTTAAAGTTAAAACATTGAAAAATAAACAGAGATTGAACTTTTAATGGTGTTAACCGCTTGCAATGCTGGTAACGTTCGGAAACAAAATATAAAGATAACATTTTACAATTTGCTTTTGAAAAGTTTAAATAATATTAAAATAAACAGGTCTTTTTAAAAATGATCTTTAAATGTTTGTAATTTTTTTCATTACTGATTTATTTAAGTAAAAAAAAGTTTACAGTAATGAAAATACCGTTTTATCTTATTAAAATTGTAAAATGTGCGATAGCTTATGTTCTAGGAGAGGCAAACCGATGACTAAGGGCTAGGCGGAATTAAATAATTATAGCTAGAGATAAAATATACGTTTAAAATACGTATTAAAAAATGTTTTCAAATTTTTCATACATTTCTAATTTCTTTCCTCTCGAGGCCGTCGCTTTTGTCCCGTATTTTAACGATTGGAAAAACGTTGTAGTCGAGTCCATTGTTCTAATTTGCACAAAGAACTACAAGATCGGACTACAACGTTACCGTATTTCTAAAGGAAATGCTCGAATTGTTCTTTAAGACAATTCTTCTGCAAATTTTGTATTAAAACCAAATAAGTTTCGAATGCAGAAAAAACTTATAAGAATCTAATCGTTTATTCTTTCTTACAGTGAAGGAAAACATCGTGATGCAACCTGCACATATCAGCTAAGAAATTTAAAGATATGTGTGAAGTCAACCAACACGCATTGTACCAGCGTTGTTGACTATGACCACTAGGTCATAGTCGTTGCCTACCCTAAGGGTGTAGTCATCGCTCAGTAGGAACGTTATATGTTTATACTGTCTACCAAATAACCAGTAAAAAAACTTTGTCTACGTTTATTCTATACAATAAACATAGTCTTCTTTCAAATTAAAAAGAAAAAAAGTGGTACGTAATGACATGATCAGCGTGGAATTACAAAAAATGCGTAGTTCTAGCTTGAATATTTATCACCAGCTCACTATATGTCTCCACCGAGGGGCTCGGAGCCTACCCACGCTGGCCCACTGCGGGTTGGTTGACTTTACACATATTAAATTTCTTGGCCGATATGTGCAGATTGCATCGCAATGTTTTCCTTACCGTATGAACGTCGGGTAAATTATGTACAATCGAAAATTCGAAAATCACATTGGACAGCGGAATTCGAACCTAAGACCTGTAGATTACAAGTCAAGTGCTTAAACCACTGAGCCACCGAAACTCTTACTTGTATATTATACTATCTCTATTTCAAATTTCATTTAGATTCGTTCAGTTTTGTATTTGTTACAAACATTCATCCAATCGTATTTTATATTAGTAAGATATCGATGTTCAATTTTGTAGTGACAAATAGTTGACAGAGGACCATATCTAAACTAATTTGTGAAACTGACCGACGGCCATTACGCATTCATAGTGGTAATAACCGAATTGAATTATGAGCTAACAGTGCGGAAAATTAAACTGATTTAACATTGTTTGCGTGTTAATTTAGTTGTAACACTCCATTGGTAGCAGTGAAAGGGTTAAGTAGACTTTGTATGGTGAAATATACACTAAAGTAACATGCTTCGATTTAATTTTATTCACTTTCTTTAATTTTATTAACAAAGCTAAATTGTAAAAACAAAACTTTGATACGTTAATAAAACTATTATTAAGAGATTGAACTCTATAAAGTAAATTCTTATAGACAAGGAAGAGGAAAAAAAGACCGTAAGTATACGAACAATAACAAAACAATTTATTGTTTTGCGAAACTACGCCCAAATGAACGATCATTATTATATGAATATTTATAACCTCAAATAGAGCAAGGCTGAATATTAATTGAGATAAAGATAGAATTATTTTAGTTCATCTATACGAGTATATTTGTTTGGATCTATACTCATCTATACTATTATAATAAAGCATAAACACACACTTCTTTGTTGCCTAAGATGTCAGCAATTACAGCATATTTTTAAATTATTTTGTTTTCAATAAAAAAGGCCTACACTTACGACACGCTTTAGGCGCTTTAAAATGTATATTTTAACGCTATTAAACTTAGGGGGTAAATATTTTGGAAAATAAACTCTAATGTGGGAAAGAGACCATACGTTGCTGCCAACATCAAGGAAGCAAGATTGCCAAGTTTTGTCATGTCATGTCATTTTGACATTTGCAATTGACAATTTGACAAATGAAAACAATAAAATATTTTTTTAGTAATTTCATGCGGACGGAGCCGCATGAAATTAGCTAGTAAAACATACATTGATTACAACTGATATCTTTGTACGTCGTTGAAGAATAAATGCATCACTTAGACATTTTGTTACATGAGTGAGAAAGAAGTATGCGAATAGAGAAGGACAGATGTACATTGGATAATTCAAACTGTTTTTTTTTTTCGATTTAAAAAGTTTTAAAATGGTATTGTAGAGTTGAATTTGACAAATATATTCCCTTACTTTTTTCAGTAAGATTGAGGCATAAATTTTTAGATCTTATATCCAATTTTATATGGCGACTTTTCATAAAAATAAAAGGCAAAAGATTGTTTTTGAAAGGGCATGCAAGTGCTTGCGAGGGACCATTAACTTGAGTAATGATCCTCGCCTGCGGCTGCAGGTGATGCAAAATTGATTCCCCGATAACGCTACTCAAAATTTATGTCCTGCATCATTAAAATAATTAATTGTTCAAACATTATTTATGGTGCGGTAGATAATTAAAGTATACCATACTAGATTCCGTCCGTGACTTCATCCGTAGAATTTAAAAAATACAAAAGCTAGCCTATGTGTTCTTCCAGACCATACTCTACATCTATGCTAAATTTCATCGAGAACCGTTCAGCCGTTTAGGCTACAAACTCTAACAAACATCTATCCATCTAAATATTCGCTTTTATATTGTGAGACTAGCTTTCGCCCGCGACTCCGACAGCGTGTAATTAAAAAAAAAGTAGCCTATGTATTCTTCCAGACCATACTCTACATCTATGCCACATTTAATCGATATCCCTTCAGCCGTTTAGGCTACAAACTCTATCAAACATCCATCCATCTAAACTTTCACATTTATAAAATTAGTAAGATTACTCGATCTCTTTCTGGTTAATAAAAATAACCCTGTGTAATGTCTAAAACAATTATCTCTATCATCATTACTCTGTGAACAGCAGTCTCACACAGGTGATGCAAAATTGATTGCAAATTGTAGACATAATTAAAGTCGTTTGTTACTAAAACTAATTTTATCCAATAAATTTACTGTAAGACTTTGAAAGGCGCCATCTTATAGAGAAATTAATAAACGGCTTGCAATTTATTTTGCAACGATACGTTATTTGAACTTTGAGGTTGTTGTTTTTATAAAGTGACAAATGGGCAGACGGCTACCGAGATTCGACATTCGCAATCGCAGATGCATTGTCTGCCTTAATCGATGAAAAGTACGGTACGTACCATCCCCCGGCAAATCCACGTAAATTCTGCATTAGTCACTCTCGCCAAGTTATACGCGAAATTGCTTCCACCTTACTATATTCTATGTGGTCGAAGTATTACAGGGTCATTCGTGCAAAAGGTGTGCGATATCTACCGCTGTTTCGAAACTGGATGTAAAGCGCTTGATTACGATCCTTTTTAATGACGTTTTATACTTACCGGGACGAAAGGATTGTTAATTTTTG